GGGGATATAACAATATTCTTTTAAACAGTTTATTTTCTATGTGCATTTATTTTTCTGATATTCAGTGTAAGCCCTTTAAGAGTTTTTCTTCTGCCCTTGACTCATGGGTAACTTAATTGCTTTTCTTTGAGTGCCTCCATAGAATCAAATTCCAGCTTTGCCAATTTAATTTTAATGTCTTTGGTTTATTATTGGACCACACAAAGCCCACAAAAAACTACATAACTCATTGCTCCAGGGCGATTGCAACAGATGGATGAAAACGTGTGTGAAGCAATGCACAGCTGTTTCTACATATTTGTGTGTGTAGACAGAAAACGACATCTGCTCCGGATCTTGTGTGTCAGCACACACAAAACACTGCTTTCTACAAATGCTAGCATACAAGAGACAGAACAACAAAATCTTAGTAAAATAAGCCAACGTAAATTTTGCGACTCTGTCTATGTAAATAAATATCTGGATTCCTCTCCCTTTGTAACAATCGCCTCAAGAGAACTTGCACGGAGGAGACTGCTCTGCATGTAAGTGAAAGATCGATTACCTTGTAACCAAACGGTTTTGCATAGGCAGCCGAACGTTATAGACAAGATCACATTAACTCTGGCTGTGTGTATAATGTTGAAATCAGTCTGATCGCATCTCTCATACAAGACAGGGCTGCATTGCAGGCACAGCCCGCAGAGTTTGCATGCAACGCCAGACGTCTCCCGCGCTGCTGCACTGTACCTGCTTTTATCAGTATCATTCATTACAGGACATTCCTAGCTGCTGTCTGCTACAGAGGCTTAGCCGAGACGGGGATACATTTGGGGATTAAAGTGCAAGGATAATCTATGTTTAACACGCTGTTGCTGTCAGGGGTGGAAAATAAAGGATGAAGAGGCCTCCTCTGAAATGCAGCTGCCTTTGACTGACACCTAGTGGGCAAAAAGAGGAGCTGCAGGGAGCAAGTACATAGAAAACCAGGAAGCAAAAACAAAACCAACACTCTGATTTTTAAAGTATGAAATGGTTTCAAAACCATGAAAACCCAGAGGTTGAAACCCAGAGGGTGTGTCAGAAGGGAAATCAATGGGGAGAGAGAGATGTGACTTTGTATTAAAGTAATATTTTTGTATGTAACTTTGTATATTTGTAATATTTTATCTGTTGCTGCTTCAGTTTTTTGTAGGGGGCTTATAGTGATGTTTTTAATATATTAAACTTTATAGAAATTAAATAATCAAATAAAGTTATCCCCAATCTCTTTTATTGTGTAATATGATAACAGGCACACATGTGCCCCAGTACAGTGATTTACTAGAGAAAGTGTCAAGACTATTTAAAGATGCCACTGAGTTTTGCAAAAGTAAAAAAAAATCTAGGGCAAATTTAGATTTTCCCCCACCCCCAAGTTTGTTCTTACTGATTTTATTGTTTTATCCTCTTTGTAAAACCACCTTGAAGTTTTCTATGATCAAGATGTATATAAACTTTATGGAATAAATACCTCTTTAAATGCAGCTCGTAGTATTGACACTACAACCAGGATGCTTGCCAGGGTCCACTCACAGAAGTCGTCCCACTGAGGGACACTTTGCTCCGTTCTTGATGGCCCTTATACTTGAGCACAGCCTTAAAGCTCCACATTGCCATCATCCCTTGACCACAACATCCCTACAACAAACAGCTTCCTTGGCTGGTTATGGCTGGTGCCTACAGCTGCCACTGTCCCTTCAGAAGGATGAAACTGAAGTGTAATAATATACGACAGCTGCCTGCATTCTAAAACTATTTAACTCAGCTGTGGCATTAACTGTACTACAATCAGCTGGAAGTCAGATTAAAATTGTGGCTCCACACAACTATTAAAATAGCATTATTTGCCCTGTTAAAATATTGTCTGTCCATATGGCAGAATGTAATCATGACAAGGGAAAATATCTGCTATTAAAATGCAAGGGCAGGAACAGATAACTTCCTGCATGTTTTTAAATCTTATTTTTAGGAGCCGTTTCACACTGGTGCACCAATTTAATTTAGTTTTTAAAGTATAGCTACATGTACGTGTCTCTGCATTCTCTCATATTGCACCAGCAGTTGGGTAGTAAAGGTAAAGGGACCCCTGACCATTAGGTCCAGTCGTGGGCGACTCTGGGGTTGCGGTGCTTATCTCGCTTTATTGGCCGAGGGAGCCGGCGTACAGCTTCCGGGTCATGTGGCCAGCATGACTAAGCCACTTCTGGCGAACCAGAGCAGCGCACGGAAACGCCGTTTACCTTCCCGCCAGAGTGGTACCTATTTATCTACTTGCACTTTGATGTGCTTTCGAACTGCTAGGTTGGCAGAAGCAGGGACCGAGCAACGGGAGCTCACCCCGTCATGGGGATTCGAACTGCCAACCTTCTGATCGGCAAGTCCTAGGCCCTGTGGTTTAACCCACAGCGCCACCCGCATCCCCCTTGGGTAGTACAGAGATGCAATTTCCTTTTCCTTGATCTAAGTGCATGCAGAGGCAACAGCTTGCATATCTGCCTCTGCAGAGCTGGTCAAGGTCCTTCAGGTATGCTGGTTGCCTTAAACTCTTGCCTTGATCTTCACTCTTGCCTGGAATTCCTTCCTTGATGGGACATTGCAAGGGCTTCTCCTGTGAGCTCTGAGCTCCCCCAGAACAGGACAGTTTCTCTTTCATGCAAAATAATTTGAGATCCCTTCATCCTCATCCGGAGTGAGGATTGGCCCTATGGTTTAGAAACATGTACTGCTACAATAATGGCAGCTTTATACGTTTCCCAAAATGACTCAGATGAGACAAAATTGAGATGTTAAAGGTGTCGAGTTCATGGTTTATTTTCACATTAAAAAAGTAATCTTATCGATGAATTAATATTTATAATATAAAAGTGCTTTTTTAAAAAACAAAACAAAAACAAATCCTTAAGGCTCATTCTGTAACATTACAGTAGGGTTTTTCACCATTCCAGGAACTGTGCTACATGAGTTTTGTATGAATGGTAGAAACAGCAAAATCTCCAAACAGCAAAACAATTTGTCAATAATATTTCATCACTTTATACACATGAACTTTAACTATGTAAAAGAGCTATAAACAAACAAACCTCTCACATTATTTTCCTTATCATGAAGTGGGGCCAACGGATTTAATATTTTATTTGCAAATATGGCATTGAATAAATGTCATCTGCTGAGCTATGTCAAGTAGTTTGATACTCTAGAAGGCAGAATAATACAGACGTTGCTTGCACATCCTGCAATTCCTATTACAAAATTTGGGAGACCATCAAGTTCAAATAGTACATAAGCACGCTATTCACTCCATCAGTCACATGCTTGGCTGAGACAAAACTCTCAGGAAATGACAAACCACTCACATTGATGCAGTTCTAATGACGTGAATATACACTGGTACAAACAGCATGTGAATTAACCCCTCAAGGTTAAGAACACACCTGTATTCATTATCATCAACAAACAGACACACCAATGGATGCATCATTTCAGCTTCAGCTATATTCCTTGAGGAAGGAATTGAGACAGACTTGCTGCAGATGAGCTTAGTATTTTGATTGGCTTCCTGTTTTTGGTCTCAAAGAGGCAAAATGGAAAAGCACTTTGCAGTCCGTTCTTGTCATGTATCATGTATGTTTTGTAGTTATAAAGAACTAATATTACTCCCTTCCCTTCCTAATTCGCTATGTATTGCTTGGATTGACACTCTGACATTGCTACTTCTAATTAAATTGATAATAGGTTTGGCGTAAATAATTCACTGCAAAGTGATCAAAATGCAGCAGCCATAGCCTCAGATTAGTATTGTCTAAGAAGAAAGTTATCTGCAACTACAAGGGTGTTTTGGAAAGTTAGGTCGAAGAAAGTTGCCCATGACATAGAGCTGGGGAGAGAGTCATAACTCAGGATGCAGTAGGTCCAGATTTCAGTTCCTGATATTTCCAATTAGGACTGGGAGAGACCCCCTTGTCTAAAATCTTGGGAGAGCTGCCGGCTGTCAGTGAAAATGAGAGTGAGCTAGACAGACCAAAAGGCAAATCCCTGGGCTCCTTGATATTGCTGTTCCTTTCTGACGCACCCTTGGAGACTGGGGAGGAAATGCCAACTAATTCAATAAATTAATAACTTCAAACCTTTCAATATATATATATATATACATATACATACATACATATATACATACACACACACACACACTTTAGAGCATAAATTACTGTACAGAATACTTCCGTTTCTTAAGTTGCTCAGTGAGTGTAAACAATAAAAACATGCCATTGTAATGACATACACCGAAGAACTGTATTGAGACCATGTAAATGCTAGCAGAAAGGTGCCAGACTTATAGATAGCACTCTATCGCCTTTCCTGTTTTTTTTTAAAACAATGCTGGCACCAAGAGAAAAAACCCCTGCAACTATGGACTAATTGAGTTCTATGTTAAGGAGTGCGAGAGGAATGGAAACAGATCATTATAACATGACAACATTAAGTCCTAGCAGGAATTTCCTACAGGTTGCCGATACCGTATAGTGGAAACTGCCCCCTCTGACATACACAAAAATGAATGAGTATAATCTAGGGCACATTTGCAACTGATGGCTAATGCTAACATATTACCAGGTGGGCTGTCCGATACGTAATTGGCCACAATGCCTGCAATTGTGGCCTCTGGAAAAATGTGAATTCTGGCCAGCCATATCTGTGACCACCAGGTTCAAGTGATATTTACCCATGGCGAGCACTTGCCAAAGGATTGGTGGGCCTACATGAGCATCTTGAGTGAACCTGCATCAGACAAACACCTGTATTTGTGGCCGCTTCATACAACTGCTAGTCATGTGATGGATACTTGAAATACAACTTGGAAAGCTTGCATGTAGTAATGTTACTTGTTCAAGTTAATATAAAAGTGATTTGCAAAGGCACAAAATAAGTAAATATGGGAATGCAGAAATAAAAAAGGCAATTAAAAAAACAACAACACCTACCAGCAGGCTGCCCAAGATGTACTGTTCATAGAAACCTATCACCACACAGGATTTGGCTTATGGGAAACCAAATGGCTAGGCATCTATCTTGCCCTCATTTCCCACTGGTAGCAGGGACTTAGTAAATTTTTCCTCATCACATGATGCAACAGGTGGCCATGATCTCACATGGCTAGATGTGCAACACTGAGATTGACCATAGAGCAAATGGTTACCTCACCACACAAAATAGTCTGTGGGTGTTCCACTTGTAAAGATAATTTTTCCCAACAGTTTTATCTTCTATGTTAAGAAGATGTGCAGAAATAAAATGTCACCTTGTCTTAGATTATGATATGGACTAGAGCAATGGCTTCTCAGAAAATTGTGGGTTGAAATATAATTATTATTTAACAAGATTTTGTTAAAATGATTTTTGGTTGCGCAAAAAAGAAGAGAAGATGATGATTTTTGTGAAATCCAGTTGTGATTGTTTGCTACTATTGATCATTTAGACCACAATCCTAAACACACAGAACAGGTTGGACTGGGCAAAGGTGTTGCTCAGTTCTCCTGGCTGAACTAGCGTTCTAGTGACCACAAGTGTCCATTAGCACCAAAGTTCCTTTCCACTAGCAGAGAGAGACATGTTTAATCCAAGTAGGTTTGTGAACCCTGGTTTTGTTTAAAAATTGTAGCCAAAAAGTGGAGGGAAATGGTCAATTGCAGTCTTGTGGATAGATGCATTAAGTACAAACTAAGGTGGGTGGTGCTGTGGGTTAAACCAGAGCCTAGGGCTTGCCGATCAGAAGGTCGGCGGTTTGAATCCCTGCGACGGGGTGAGCTCCTGTTGCTTAGTCCCTGCTCCTGCCAACCTAGCAGTTTGAAAGCACATCAAAGTGCAAGTAAATAGGTACCACTCCGGCGGGAAGGTAAACGGCATTTCCATGTGCTGCTCTGGTTCGCCAGAAGCGGCTTAGTCATGCTAGTCACATGACCCAGAAGCTGTATGCCGGCTCCCTTGGCAAGTAAACCGAGATGAGTGCTGCAACCCCAGAGTCGGCCACGACTGGACCTAATGGTCAGGGGTCCCTTTACCTTTAAGGGCTGAATATTTGCTCTCATTAAAAAAATAAAAATCTGGCTATATAAAAATCCTGTATAATTGGTGGAAATTTACATCTGAATGCTAATGTATAGCTCCAAAGGCAAACTATTTCAAGCTTTACACACCAGAAATTAATTGCTAATTTAAATTGGTGTCATCTCATTGCTCATAAATCCATATAGTGAAGAAGTCCATGGGCATTACTGGGATTGCGCCAGTATAAGTAATCAAAGACTCTGCTCAGAAATTATATGAACCTAGAATACTGGTCTCTTAGTATGTAAGGCAATTCTTCTTCTTTAAACTGATCACTTTTATAAATTATCTACACCTATTTGTGTTCTTACTTTGATCCCATGCAAGGCAGATGTGGTGCCTTAGTAAGTTCTTACAGTAGTTGCACACCGCTGCATGCTAATGGGCAAACAAAACCCCCTAAAAATCCTGTAGAATTTCTAGGAATATATTGTACTTATCCAGATGGACTCTAGGATGCTTGAGGTGGGGAAAATACCGGCATCCTGAGTAGGAACTTTTGATGCATGGGTATATGTTCATAGCACTCCCATGTATTTCATAAGCAAAGAACATGCAAACAAAAATAAATATGCAACAATTGACTTGCTGTCATAGTAAGCACCCATTGTTTTAAACCCTTCTTATCAGTGTTTTGGGGCTCAGGAACTTGTCCCTTATTCTGTGATAGCTGCCTCACACAGATTATAGGGACATTAACTGTGTTTGTAACCTATTCGTTCCATTTCTTTTATTTCCACCACCCATCTGCCTGCCCCAGTATTCAACAGTTAGCATTACCTCTGTTGTATTTCCTATCTTTTTACATAGTATAATGCCAAAATATTTATTTGCGGCATCTTCAGGGTCAACACTCCCTTAAATGGTTCTGAAAACAGTAATTTTATCAGTCTGAAAAACTATGGTATGTACATACAGGCGATACTCGTGAATGTTACAGGAACTTACAGAGCAGTCATGTGCGTGTTTACCTGGAAACAAACCACACAGTGTTCAACTGTGCTTACTCCCTAGAAAGTGTGTTTAGGATTGCACCCTTAATTTGTTGGCAATGTTCACTTCTGAAGAGATGAGTTGTTTAGTTTGAAAATTGTCTTGCATCTTTAGTACTGAAAACTGCAATGCCAAAATCAGTAAACGAAGCTCTGGCTTCATTTGTATGTAGGTTATTTTTTTAAAAAACTGAGGCCCTGCTCAAGTATCATATTCAGTATCAACTGAATTATAAATTCATTTTTCCGAAGTCAGCACTGAGTAATCTAACTAATGTTAATGGAATGACTAAACGTATTATGTGATTCAGAATGGGATGCAAAATAATTATTGAACATTCCAGGATATAAATGCTGAACAATTAAGATTGATCAAAAACAAAAATGAAATTATTAAATAAGGTCCTCAGAATCATAGTGAGATTCTTATACTGCATCACTTCCTGATCACTGGGTGGGTGAGAGGGAATTCTTCCTTTTTCTGTACCCATTGTGTGTATGTGTATATATTGTATGTGTGTATATTTGTCTACTGTATTCAGGTGAGCATTCCATGCATCTGACAAAATGGACTCCGGCCCATGAAAGTTTGTGCCACAATACATTTGTTAATATTTAAAGGCTCCACAAGACACTTTCTTGTTTTCATTTTAAAAAAAGAATAATCTATCAAAAGGACAAGACAGTTGTCTCTGACTGAAATCGAATCTGATTATTGCTAGATTTGTTTTCTTGGTCAGCAGGCACTGAAGAGAATTTATAAATATGGAATAATAAAAAGCACAGGTATAGAAGAAAATAACAGATTATTTTTAGTACAGAAGGCAGCAAACCAAGCTTTGCACATAAACAGAATTGAATGTAATTAAATTGGAACTAGAAAAAAATTGCTAATATGCTACATTGCTAAAATGTTTATCAGAATGTGTGTACGTTTATGCACTGGTTTTGCAGCATTATTGGTGGAATCAGCTGCAATTTGTTTTGAAATGTCGCTGTTGATAAAGAAATAATATTTTCCCCAATACCTTTACATTCTATTTCATTATTCCACCTCCCTCTACCAAGTTTTAAAGACTGTTCCCTAGTATAGTATATGCATATGTATAAATGGCTTTCTGAAAACAAATATCATTTAAAAACCAAATATTACATTCTACATGTAATCTAGTTTTTTTGGGTTTTTTAGCCACAAAACATAGCAGGCCTTACGAATTGAATATTGTTCTATGTAAATCACAAGGGTAGCCAATTAGAAGCTTGTGGACTTGATCTGGCCACTAATGACCCCACGATATTCGAATCAAGGTATGATAAAAAGTTTATCCTCAGTTTCATTCAAAAAAGAAGGAAGCCATTTTCAGATTGCTAAGTAATAAACATGTTTCACACTTTAATACAGCATCATTGTGATTACGCATGTTTACGGAATATGCTGTTGTGTCTGAGTGCAGATGTTCTGTAACCAGGAAACCCTTACTGCTAAATGCTAACGTATATGGAGCCTAACCATTCATAAGGCTCATGGGAGCAGGGCAGGTCCAAGATATTTTGGCACTTGAGGCAGATCCCCAAATGGTGTCCCCAGTGCCCCCCACACAAGGGAAGAAGGGGGTCAGGGTAGATCTACATCAGGAACAAAGGTGGGGGAAGAGAAGAAAGATCAACATCAGGATCTGCTGCGCCAGGTGGACCCTGCCTCATGAGGGGCTGGCCCTGGCGGGGAGGGATGAATGTCCATTTCCATGCAAACTGGTATCCAGACTATTGTCTGGCAAACAGAAGAGCTCTCAAGGAACAAAAATTGGTCATCTCTGTTAAAATGTAAATCACAGAATAAACATAGTTTATGATAGAGCAAATCTGCCTATGAAACTGCACTTGGCCTAGTTTACGAAACCACATCTTTTCAGAAAAGCTAAGCAGAGATTTATGAACACACTTAATATCACATAGAAAAGACTTTTCTGAATAAGATGTAATGTTTATTATACCTGGATAAATCAAGCCATAGTTTTCTATTGGAGGAGTGTGTGTGTGTGTGTGTGTGTTTATGTGTGTGTGTGTTTGTATATATGTGAGAGGGTTTGTTCTAAAACACCTATGTTTAGTTTTCATCTGTAAAGAAGTGATATTTGGAGACTATTAAAGTATAATGCATCAGAAGAGACAAACATTGCATAATATACATACACACCTATTTCTGTACTCTGGAAAAAAATTGTTCCATGTTAAAGAAAGGTTCACATTTGTTTGAAGCAATGCTGTGGTTGCGTATTTCTGTAGCACAGTGTCTAGAATAACTGAATTGTCTGTGGGAGTGTCTAGTGTCCAGATGAATGCCACAGTTATTATGACAACTGAGCACTGCTCTTTATCCAGTGGAGTCCTTGTTGGGTGTATTGTACCAGGTGTTCCATACTGCTGTGCAAGGTGACAGGTCCCATCAGTACATCCAAATCATTAAAGAAATCTAGGGAATAAAACATTAGAAAAACCAATACTGATTACTCCTGGTTGCATGATAGGCATTTTTAAAATTTCTAATTAATGCACATAATATATTGGTAACGTAGGCACAATTTAATTCATGGTTAAAGGGTTTGTTTGAGGCTTCTAATGCCTTTACTGCAAGCTTTCCACCACTGAACGATTTAATATAAAAACAATAAGGTTGGTTCCCCAGCCTTTTCTTTCTTAACAGTTCATTGATTTTTGGGCAAAAGAAGAATGGTTACTTGTTTCCTGGTTTGCAAAACAGCCCTGAATCAGCTAAAGTTAGTTGTGAGTGACTAAGCCCCATTAAAAGTGCTGAAACAGGAGTTCGTAACAGGCTGTAGCATACAATTCTGAGATACAATTCACCCACATCTATCACCATGTGGGCTCCAGTTGGCATAGTGTCATTAGTGCAGGTGTCCACTAATGGTCTAATTTTGTTGAATGATTTTCAGTTATTGGAGCCAAAGGGTGTGGGCAAGATGACTGGTAGAGTCTGGACACCTGAATGCTCCACCCTTGCTCTAGCAGGAAGGGGATGTCTTCTCTGGGTCCATAAGTTTGTAAATGACTCTTGAATGAGCAGTTCCAGCTTTTGAAAAAGAAATTATAATTCAGCTGCTCCTGAAGAAACCAAGCTTGGACCCATATACAGTGGTACCTTGGGTTACATACACTTCAAGTTACAGACTCCGCTAACCCAGAAATAATACCTCGGGTTAAGAACTTTGCTTCAGGATGAGAACAGAAATCACGCGGCGGTGGCACGGCAGCAGCGGGAGGCCCCATTAGCTAAAGCGGTGCTTCAGGTTAAGAACAGTTTCAGGTTAAGAACGGACCTCCGGAACGAATTAAGTACGTAACCAGAGGTACCACTATAATGTTATCCACTGATCAGTGGTTAACATACCCTTTTATCAACAAAGGTGATTGAGAGAGTGGTGACCAGTCAACTCCAAGTTGTTCTTGGATCCATTTCAATGAGGCCTGGTTTGGGACTCTGGTCACTGTTAGTTGAAAGAAAAACAGGCCCTTTCTTCCTTATTCTGTGACGCCAGTGGCAAGTCAGAGAGGTGGGAAGGAGCATCAGGATAAGTGGCAGAATGAGCTGGTGCCCAATCCTGCTTCATCAGCAGGTTCATGGATCTAGGTCCAAGACCCAAAACACCTAGACTCAAGCATGGGTCAAAACGGCTTGTCAACAATCCTGGCCAATTTTAGTGATTTTCAAACACCTACCTTGGTTTTCCTTGGCAAGATTGTCAGCCATCTCCCAGTAGTCGTAACTGTGCAAGATGCTGTTGGTGATGCTGACGTGATTGGCTGCCATCTGGTGAATCCGTTGTGGAATGCTGATGATGGAGGAGGGGGAAGGGGCTCTAGTGCTTCCCTGTGACCCTACAGAACTCACAGGAGATGGGCTGGGTGAAACTGGAGAGGGTGTTCCCGTACACCTGCAAAACCAAAGTTTATTGAGGGATATTAAAAACTGTGTACATATACTCAAGATACCAGCGGTGGAAGCTGGTCCATTATGGTATGGCCCCACTAGTCTCAGTGTGCCCTCAGCCAGCCCCCACCAGCCTGCCTTATTCAGACTTAAAAGCGGGTGGCAATGGCTGACATCCTCCTCCTCCTCCACGGTCTCCATGTTGTACTTGCAGAACTCAACAGGCAAGAGGATGGAGTTAAAACAAACAAGCTTTGCCTGTTGTTGGTATGACTACTGTTTGGGCTCCCTGACTTCTTGCCCTACCAGTTACAATGGACACCAGCCACCACAGGATACCAGTAAACATAAATGGTTTCAAGTTCACCCAGGCTAGTATTCCCCTGACCTATCGACTTCCACATCCTGTCCTTCCTTACAACAAGCTTCATTATTCTTCCCCAATACTTTTTTTAAGGGTTGCAAGTTCTTCCTGGTATTTGTGGTTATGTTGTTTCAGAATACAGCAAACCCCCAGCAAGGCAGAGAAAACAGCTCTTGCAGCTCTTCCTCTACAATTTATAGAGGGCCCAGAAAGAAAGCAATAATGATGCTGGCTGGAGGGTTCAGTGACGCAGAAGCAAAGCAAGGCTATTTCACGCATTACTATTTAGGTGCACAGTTAAAGATTCTTAAAACTGAATGCAAACAAATATAAAGCATGAATGTGACAAATAGGTTTTCAAAAATGCATGGATCCCAGGTACACCCTTTGGGAGAATCAAAATAAGAATGTACGTACCCTTTGTAGGAAATTCAGGCTTGTTGCCATGCAATGAGCGAAGCAGTCTCAAAACCCTTTCAGGTTACTTTTTATTTTATTTTAAATAAAGCCTGTTCATCTGATCAAAGCCCACTGCAATTGTTACAGTTTCTTTATAAACAGCACCCCTAAGTTGCTAGTATTCAAAACTTTTAGCTGTGCGTGGATGGCTGAATGAAATCTTAGCATAGGATAGTGGAGCAATGAACTTACTTTCCACTGGCACTCCAGGGAGATGGTACTTGAGCAACTTTAGATGAATTCTGCAGAGGGGGAAAATATATTACAAGTAACTAAAGGGTTTGTAATGAGTGCCAACAAGACACAGCGCAGAGGAGAAGGAAGAACATTTTACAGCATAATCCTATACATTACTCAGAACTAAGTCCAATCACAGAATCATATAGAATTGTAGAATTGCAGGGGGGGGGGCAGACTTCATGTTGGGAAGGGGCAGAACCTCAGTTAGCTAAGTATTTTTATTGATTTACTTAATTGGGGGGGGGCAGCTGCCATGTCAATGGCA